GAGCCGTCATAGCCGCGACGTTGTTGGGCAATATGGGGATGGCGAATCTTTCGGTTCGAGTCTTGATGCCACGGATAGCTAGTAAGTTTTTCCATCCAGTTTTGTCTCTACCACACCCAGAAACCGTTGCACGATTAGAGTTACTGCCACTACACCCGTTTTTGGAGTTGTAATGAACCGCCTGTGTATCCACATCCTCAAGACCATTTTCCAAAGCACTAACCAAATTCTCAAAGTAATTCTTAGTCACGGCTGTTAAACCGGTGAGCTTTATACGAAAATCACTGAAATTAGGGGAATCAGCTTCCTCCGGGCTGAGGTAGATCTCAAGTTCCTTCTCTGCACATTGATGAAGCCTCTCCAATCCCTCCTCGGCCTGCCCCTGCAAGTACTCAAAGAATTGACTCTTGGTATGCTCCTCCTGTGGCAAGTAGAACCCATAAGCGTAAGTCCACTTCAGCACCCTCCTGCACTCAATGATCTGCTTCCAAGCTTCCACTATGAACTTCACTTGTGCCAATGAAAGGGACTGATGTTCACAGATCTTCATCACCTTAACACCCTCCATTTCTCTTAAGTCAGCCATGGCTTTCTTCATTGATTTCTCATTAGCAGCCCACCTCTCATAGTAGTGTGTGTATCTCTGGATAGACACCTTTGCCATTTCCTTCCGCCTCTCAGTTTCACTCCCGGGCTTGTATCGATTACACGAATTATACCCATGAACAGACCAATCATTCAAGCATAGCCAACAGAATTGAAACCTGCAAGGAGCCTTGCAAGTAATCCTCATACAGCCTTCTCCCTTCTCAATAGGGCGCTTGCACTTTGGGCACGGCTTTGTGTAAGCTAGAATCCAATTGGTGTTCTCAGATTCTGCATTGTTCTTCAAAATCCATTTGCCAACGGTTTCGCAATCCACAGGCCTGTGAGCTTCTTCTGTGCAATTCCAGCAAAAGAAGTTGCCACATTCGCAGATGACATCGGCATTCTCGCTCCCAATTTCGAACCGGATGGCAAATTCGCAGCCTGGGGCTGTGCACCACTTGATTTTCATATTCTCTTCAACGTAAGACCGGAAAAGAAAGCAAAAGTATTTCTTTTTGTCATCTTCCGTGGCTAGATTCTCAATTGCATCCAGATTAACAGAAATTTTGCATGAAGGGTCGGGGCACCTCAAGCTCAAGCAACCTGGCCCGTCTGCTACTGCGGTTCCTATATAGCTACTCCAGCAGTCTAAACAGAAAGGGTGGTTACAAGAGGATGCATAAATTTTACAGGGGGACAAATCATCGAAACAAATTCCACAGGTGATTTCTCCAGAACCCGAAAATTCAAAACTTTCATAGGGTTTATTCCATTCCAGACCCACCTCCTTCCGGACCCTCTCCTCGTCCGCGAACCACTCCTCGTGAACTCTGTTGACGCTCCAATTGTAGCGGCGGAGAAGAGCTGATGCCTCCGACCTGGAAACTGAGAGGACAGAGATGATTTGAGCCATATCGGCCTCCATGAGGCGACGGATGTCGTCTCTATTCAAGATCGTGAAATTCGTCTCCAACTCAAGATCATCATCTCCGAGGAATTCAGTATCCCTTCCCGCTTCGCCATCGCTTCCCGATCCTTCGGAGACGTCACTGTCTCCGCCGCTGTAAAAATCATCTTTCGGCGAGTCTGCTTCGAATAAAGCGTCGTCGGAGCGCACCATAGTGTTAGTAGTCGATCGGTGTGTGGTGGGGTCACTGGAGAGATGGAATTGAAGTCCACCAAGGGATTGTTGAATTCGGATGCGGCTGAATTTTATACTCCTCTCTCCAACGACAAAAGTTTTTATTTACTTTTGTTAGCCTATTTTCATGTCATATTCAATAAAATAAAATAATATAATCATATCATATCTAATTTTTTAGATCTTTTTGTGTAGTTTTTTAATATAAAAATTTTATTTTTTAATTACATAGTACGGAGTAGTATTTTTCATAAAAAATATTTTAAAAATAACTTCAATCAAATATCTTAACGCATAACAGAAACTATATTTATGAACTAAAGGAATATTATACTCCTTTCACTTTCCTCTTTTGACTTAGGAGTACTTTAAGCGTGTCATGAGCTGTTCAACATTAGGTCTAGACTGAAACACCGACCGGATCCAGACCTATTGCATTTAGGGTGGTCTTCGGTCCTACTACCTCCGTCCCACTTTTTTTGTCCAGTTTTGATTTTTGGAACTGTTCATCTAAGCACTTTGACTCATCAAATTCTCTCAATGTGTAAGTCTAAAAATAGTCATGTGTGATCTTGTTTGATTTGTCTTAACATATAGATTATTAATATATAATTTTTATAATTTTTTAATATATAAATTACAAGATAAAATAGATTAAAGAAGTGCATTGGATGGTGTGCAAAAATGAAAGTGGACAAAAAGAGTGAGACGGAGGGAAGTAGTATTTTAACATTTTGATTTTTGCTCCGTTCAGGTCCATATCCGAATTTATATCCGTCCAGCCTGAAATAACAGATAACTCTTGCGGAGCATATATCGTCCGCTGTCCACTCCGGACTCTAGGCCTAATTTATATACATCATCTTCTCCAGTTCTCCCAGTTAGGGTTTTTTTCAACTTTATACGCAGTTTGGTATAATCTTCTCCATCTTCCATCTTCAACTCCATTCTCTGTCTGTTCCTTAGGATTGTCACTCAGTAGATGACCATAGACTCCAACTCAACCATTTCTGCAACTCTCTTCTCCACCTTCGCACTCCTATTCAAGTATGTGAGTTTAATTAATTTTCAATTAGGCTTTAATTGAGAATATGGGTATAATCATTGCTCCGTCACCTTCAATTTAGTCAATTACTTCTGGCATAAAGTCTTTCGATCTTCAATTGAAAGTCAGGGTCATATTCAGTGCTTCACCAAGGAAGAATTGATAGTGGGGTAAAGGTTTGTCTCTGTCCTATTCGGTCTGAATCGGTTCGGTCCATCATATTTTGATCTGGTCCGGTCCGAAACCGAAGATATTTAGGTCCAGTCTTCGGTCTTGCTTTTGCCTCAGTTCGGTCTTCGGTCCAGCCTCAGTTCGGTCTTCGGTCCAGTTCAATCTGGTCCGGTCCGATTTTAAACTGATGAACACCTCTATGCACATGTCGAAGAATTTTTTAACAATTTTAAGTATTTTATTTCACTTTTTAATGTTTTTTCTTTTATATTCTAACTCTTAAGATCTGCTTGGTGTAGAAAAAATTCCACAAAGTTCCAATTTTACTTTTCTATGTTAGATTGCGTAAGTGGTAGAAATCATTTTTTAGGATAAATATTTTTTCACAGAGAAGAAAATAACTTTAAAATGTTTTAGAAAAAATTTAATTTTTCTTACTCAATCCTTGAATACTCTATTTCCTCGAGTTCATTCCTCCCACCCACCCTCATCCTCTCCTCTTACCTCACCCTAGCCACCCCTAGAAAATGAAGCTCTGTAATCAAAACTTAGTTTCACAATCGTGTATAAAAAATATTTAATATGCCCTCTAAAATATTTAACAATTATCTTAAAATATCTCTTTTATTAAAATATCAACAATGTACTAACTCCTTTTATCAGAAAATGGATTTTTTGTTTTTGAAAAAAAAAATCTATCAAACATAGAGTAACAGAAAATATGGAGAATACTTTTTCATGGAAATTGTTTTCCTCTAAAATAATTATCTTGAAACATATTGTCTCACAACCAAATGCACCTGTCCAAAACTCTCCAATTTCGGATAATAATCATTATTCCTTGACAAAAAAGGCGTTCTACCGTGCATGATTTTGAATCGAAGGTCACGCAGTTTCTCTTGTCACATAATTGACTTATGCTCAAGAGATTGTGTTTAAGATCCTTAACTAGCAAGACATTATCTATAGAGGAGTCTTCGAATTTACCTACCGAACCAATATCGATAATCTTTCCCTTGCTATTATCTCTAAAGACTACGTTTCCTCCTTTGACGGGTTTAATTTGTAGGAACTTGGATGCATCTCCGGTCATGTGCTTGGAGCATCCGCTATCAAGATACCAAAGTACACTTGACGCCTTCAAGCACATCTACAAAAATGATTTAATAAGATTTAGGTACCCAAGTCTTTTTGGGTCCTTGAGCGTTAGGTGCAAAGTGGTAGTGTGTTTCGTTTTGTGTCCAATGCCTATGTCTAGTAAAGCAAACGGGAGCTATATGTCCTACCCTATTGCAATAATGGCAGAATACGTTTGGGTTGTGCATCCTCCTAGGTTGATAATATTTACTAGGGGGCCTAACCATATTCATCCTATTTTGAGAAAACCTTGGTTTTTGAAAATTCTCTCTTCTAGATGTTTTGGCATTATTTTGTCTATTTGAAAAATTATTTTTATGCACAAATTCATGTTGAAAATTTTTTCTAGGTTGTCTAACATGCACATTTTCATTCCTAGGTTTTTGTCTAGGTTGTCTAGTGTCCTTAGGTTGACTAGGTTTTCTATTATCCTGATTTTTAACTTTCTTAAGTTGAGCCTTAGGAGGTTGTCTAGGTGTTTGCTCAACGTTTTTATCCTTAGCTTCGTTTTTATTAAAACCAAATCCTTCCTTAGAAAAGTGCATAGTGTCAAGAAGTAAGTTAAGATCTTTGTGTGGAGTATTAAATTTCTTAACCGTACTCTCAAGCTTTGCAACCTTTTCTTTTAAAGCTTTGCACGATTCACATTCATTTGAAGAGCTTTCCGGTTTGTCAGCGCTTCTTTTGTCATAAAATTTATTTTCTTGTTTTAACTTTTCATTATCTTTTTCCAGTTTTTCAAAATTATTTTCAAGAGTTGAAAGACGTTTCTTTAATGATTTGTTGATTTTTGAAGCGCTAACAAATTCATTGTAAAGCTCACGAAGTGCTTCTTGCATCTCTTCAAAAGTGTAAGAGTCGTAAGAAGTGGTACATACCTCTTGTACATCGTCGGTTTGGTCTTCGTGTACCATGAGACAGAGGTTGGCAGCTTCATTCTCTTCTTGGTCGGTTGACTCGTCGCCGGAGTTGCCACCCCAAGAGATATACGCTCTTTGCTTTTTGAAGCCGGGTTTGTCCTTGCCGTTTTGCCTCTTGGACACCCCGGCTTGATGTGACCTATCTCACCGCAGCCATATCACTTCGGAGACCGTCGTGCTTCTTTCCTTTGCACTCAAATTCCTTCTGCATAAAGTTGTAGAATTTTTTGATGACGAGTCCAAACTCGTTGTCATCATTGCTTGAGACTTCTTCAACCGTTTCTTTGATTGCTTCGAGCACTATTCCTTTCTTCTTTTGTTCATCAACCGACGGGTTTAGAATAGTGGATTCATAAGTTTTGAGGTTACTTTTTAACCCGTCGATGGTGACGTTGGAGACTCCGATGGATTCGTAGATTGCGTCGGCCTTTGATCTCCATTCGGGTGTGAGACTCCGCAGGATTTTCCTTACGAGATCCTTGTTGGAGTAAGTCTTTTTGAGAGCATGAAGGTCATTGATGATCTTCGAGAATCGATCGAATATGTCATCGATCTTTTTGCCTTCCTTCATTATGAACATCTCGTACTCCTGCGTGAGGAAGTCAATTTTGGCTTCCAGAACTTGGTCCGTACCTTCGTATGTAACCTCCAGCTTGTCCCACATTTCTTTGGTGGTTGTGCAGCAAGAGATCTTGCGATAGTCGTCGAGGTTGACCGCGCAGTAAAGCATATTGATTGCCTTAGCGTAGTTCTCCACCTTTTTGATGTCTTCGGCATCAAATTCGTCCTCGGTCTTTGGGATGAGTTTCTCCCCAACCTTCTTCATTGGCATTTCTTCGCCGTTCTTGATGACCAACCACAATTAGAAGTTGGTTGAACGGATATAAATTCTCATCCGCTCTTTCCAATATGTGTAGTTGGTGCCATCGAAGAGTGGTGGCCTAGAGGTTGATTGACCTTCTCCAATTCACATAAAGATTTCTAGAAGAAGAACCCATGATCGCTTTTCTCTCAAACGGTTAAGTTTGGACGCGAGTTAGGCTCTGATACCAATTGTTATAATAAAAGACCAACGCTAGAGGGGGGGTGAATAGCATTTGATTGTAGAAATCGCAGGAATAAAAAAATTTAAAAGAAGAAGTGAAGAGAAGAGTAAGAGGCACACAGAATTTACCCTGGTTCACCACAACTTGTGGCTAATCCAGCCTCCCGAGAGACTCTCTCGAGCTACACTACTATCTCGTTAAGCTTAACGGTGCTTAACAAACCCTTACAACTTGAGAACTCGAGTTACACGAACCTCAACAAGTCCTTCGAAGGAAACAGCCCTTCGAATCAAACAAGAGAAATACTTCTCTCAACGTGTCTTAGAACACAAATACACTCAAGAACAAGACTCTCTTTAAGAGTAGATATTGAGTAAACTAAATACGCTCAAGAACAACTCAAACTTCACGCGAATTGGATCTAGAAAACTATGGAAAATGATGTTGTTTGAATGCAATGATAATATGAATATTGTGAAGTGAATTGGTGAGTAAATCAGACCAAAATACCCCTTTTTATAGTGCCAAAATAGGCTCCAACGGATCATGGCATTAAAGGGGTGATTGGTATGAGTTATGGGATTGATTAAAATGTGGATCTGCAGGATATTGGCTTTCCCAGCGATGTATGGACTTACCCATCGCTGGTAAGCCAATTTTCCTTCTGTTTTGAAGCCAACGGTCACCTACCCATTGATGGGTACATGCTTCCCATCGCTGGGTGAGAGGTTGACTTTCAAACAAGAAAAGAATCAACCTTAAATGACTTACAATGGTCATGCCTAACCAACGATGGGTATGTCCTCCCATTGCTGGGTTCCCATCGATGGGTTTAAGTCCCCATCGCTGGGTAAGATCATTCTGCCTTGTGTTAATGTTGGACCAAGGCTTGAACAGCGATGGGTAAAACTTCCCATCGATGTTTGGCATGGTTCCGGAATTCGGTTGGGCTGAAGGTCCGCTTACCCATCGATGGGTAACTCTTCCCATCGATGGGTAACTCTTCCCATCGATGGGTGGATGGTTAGTCAAAACCCCATGGTTTTTGCCTGAACCATGGCCTAGCCAACCGATGCAAAAACTGACCAAAAAATCCAAAGTTCTCCAAAATAAAAACCAAGTGTTTAAAACACTTATTTGATGTATTTGGCTAAGAAATCAATTGAGACACTTTAAAAACCACGTTATTTGAGTAAAAACCACGGCTAGCCAAGTTTATGCTGTTTTGCGTGGTTTTTTCCAAACGACCAAAAACGAAAGATGGTTTTTGAAGTGTTTTTGTTGAAGAACCATTTAAACATGCCCAGAAGTGAAAACCAATCATAAAATGTTTAAAACCACTTGGTTGGTTCCGACGCCAAAAACTAACGCCGATAACCGAATGCCGAACGCTGGTTTCTGAAAGCTGAATGCCGGTTTCTGAAAGCTAAACGGCGGATAGCTTGATTTTTGGTTTGGGCGAATACCAAGTGTTTTTAGTGTGTTAAACATGTTTGAAAAACATTTTTATGATATGAGAAATGCAATAAAAGGTTTTAGCCTAAAGAGCCATAGTGTAAAGGTTTGGTCGGTCTTGATCACAATTGTGACTGATTCAACAACACTAAAGACTACGGTCTTCGTTCTTGGTCTCTTTTAGCTCTTGTTCTCTTTCTTCTCATCTTTGGTTATCGCCTTGTATATTCAATGACTTGTCTCATTCTCGGCGGTTTGGCATTATCGAAACCTATCATAAAAACGAACACAACTTTAGTACGTAATCGTGATAAACCCGTGTTTCAACACCTAAGTGGGGGTGAATGTAATACCCCGTATTAAGATGTAGGGATGTTCACGATTTGGTTTGGACCGAAAAAACCGACCGAACCGGACCTAGCGGAGAAGATCTAAGGTTTTAAAAAAGGATGCAACAAGGACATTGCATTCCTAAGTGGGGGTGAATGTAATACCCCGTATTAAGATGTAGGATTGTTCACGTTTAGGCCTGGACCGAAAAAGCCGACTGAACCGGACCGTTTGGTCCAGACCGAACCCGAATCGAATGAATTTCGGGTCGGTCTTCGGTCTAAAAAATCTAGTAGTTCGGGTTTCGGTCCGGTCCAAACCTGAAAGGATTTAGGTCCAGACCGATTGGACCGAATGGACCTAATAACCCTATTGGACCTAAAAGACCTAAATACATAAACTCTACTTTTTAAGTTCTGTAGTATACTTTGATGCTTTACTTGAATAGATATTTTAATTTATTTAATTAAAAAAGTTTTTGTTAAGAAATTTTTTAAAAAGAGTTCAAAAAAAGTTTCGCATTAGTTTTTATTATTCACATAGAAGTAGTTCATGTTCTGTATCTATTTTTAGGTTGTCTATTTTTTTCCTATTTGTACGCTACAAAATAAAAAGCCTAAAATATTTTTTTGAAAGACAAACTATCAAAACCTAAATTATATTTAATTGATCAAAATAATTTAAAAAAACATTTGTTTTCGATCCAATTGGTCTGGACCGGTTCGGTCCTAAGTATATCCGTCCGGTCCGGTCCAAACCCGAATAGATTTGGGTCTGGTCTTCGGCCCTAGATTTTAATAAATTCAGTCTTCGGTCCGGTCCAGGACGGTCCGGTTCGATCCGGTCTTGGACCGATGAACACCCCTATTAAGATGGGAATGAGAAGAGCTCAAAAGGATTGATAGTACTATTCAAAACAATAAGGTACATCTTCTTTTCGAGAGCTACCCACGAGTGATGACAAAATGTGCGGGAAAGACTTGTGTTAGTTTGTGGGACCAGTCTACAATTCTATGAGCGGAATCTTACGGCCAGGGTAGGGGCTGGGGTGTTACAGCTTGTCGCCTTGAGACATTGATTTCTTCTTAAGTTTTACTTAGTCGAGCACGCATGAATCGTTCGGTCTATTGGGCCTTGTTGGGCCGCTCATTTGGTTGGGCTGGATACCCCCATTTCAGGGTATCCATCACTACCTTTTTAGCACAATTAAATCTGGAGTTGCTCAAGCTAACGCCAAATCCTATTTTTTTGTGCATAACCATTTTACAAAGAGAATGCTTCAGAAATAGATTTTAGTTAAAACATCTTTCAATAAACATCTACCAACACTCTCTACAAAAAGAGAACTATCATCAATAACAGCAGAATCAATAGAAGAACTAAAGATCTCCAAAGCATCCGTATAAATAATACTTCATTGTATACATGAAAAATATTTAGTGTGTACTAAACAGACAAATATTCGGGCCTATGAACAAAAATTTAAGTCGTATTATAGGATAATAATAACATTAGGTGAAAAGAAGTATAGTGGATATAAAAAATCCTTTTGAAGAAACCAAATCGCAATCAATTAAAGTCAAATTATAAACTTAAACGAAAATTACCTAAAATAAGAGATTCATTACCATGAACAACATCGCAATTAGAATCTGGATTGGGAAAAATAATTGATGATCTTGGACAAATAACATCTGAATGACTGAATCCATCCTAAAAAAGAGAGGAAACGTGAGAAAGAATAAAACCAAGATGAATCGTTGTAAGAGAAGGCAAAATTTAGATGAACAGAGAAGACCAAAGGAAGGAACGATAGTATTTCAAGATTTTCAAAGACTTTGAAAAATCCATGTAAGTATTTGCCTTAGTGAATATCTCAAGATTTTCAAAGACTTGAGAAAATCTTCTTTTGAAAATCTTTATTAAATACATCTAGATTTTTATAGACTTTTAAAAATGAGTAAATTCTATAATTAGTCCTTTATAACAGGGGGGTTTCCCTATTTAGTCCTCTATTATCAAATATTACCCCAGTAGTCCTTCTTTTATGGGTACCTTTCCACAAATAGTTCTTTTTTTGATCTTCTATCATGTTGATGTTAATTTGAGGGCTAAAAGTGTAATTTCACAATGATAATATATTTTTTTTGTCATACACAATTCCAAAGACTATTCTGTTTACGTCGTTTGTGAATTACAGTCGTTTTCTACTACAACTATAGTCTACAAATGTGGTCTTTTGTCAAAATTCTAGCCCACAATTATACTCATTATTTTTGTGTTATCCGCTTAACCAATATCATAACACATCACTAGACATAATGTTGATGTCAAATTATACTTTTAGCCTTTAAATTAATACCAACACGGCAGAAGATAAAAAAAAGGACCATTTATGGAAAGATACCCTTAAAAAAAGGACTACAGTTGTAATATTTGATAATAGAGAATTAAATATGGAAATCCCCTCTTATAAAAGAGAAATTATGGAATTTACTCTTTAAAAATCCATATTAATACGTCTAGTTTTTTGAAGTCTAAAAAGTTGCTACTCGCAATTGATTAAACCCCATAAAAAACTACGGAGTAAAATTTAGTCATTCACCCTCTGCCACAAGCCTCTGCATTAGCCGATTCCAAGTCCGTCAACGCCGCCGGACCGCCGACCTCAACGCCACCGAGTTGCCGACGCCCGACCCCCGTCCTCTGCCGCCTGCACGCTGGCCTCCACAACTCCAATCAGATCGTCAATCTTCCAGTGCCAGGTTTTTCTTGACATAATTGAATGGGAATTGGGTATTTTGTTTTGTTCTTTGTTCTTTGTGAAATTTTTCATTTATTCTTATGAATTTGTTATTTGTGAATATGTTTGAATTTCAATATATGGAAAGGTATTTTAAAATGACACCAAGATTTAAAGAGAAAGAATTGAGTGAGAATCCATCAAATTTGAATTCAAATGCTTCATCATCTTTGAATCATCCACCGGAACCACATATTGACGAAAGGGGAAAAAATTAGATTTTGAATAATTAGAGGTTGATTCAGGATTAAAAAAGAGAATTATCGATTATCATCCAAATGTACAAGATGAAATTCGTTGTAGTGTTGAACATGCTTTTTCAGAAATGAAGTTTGTGAAGAATGATGTTCAAAACAAAATTTGTGACCAATGGTTAAATGATTGCCTAGTGACATATAGAGAGATGTCTTCGCTACTATTAGCAATAATAAAATAATAAATCGCTTTCAAAACATGAAAACTAAACGTTATCAATTGTAAGATGTATTTTGCATTTAATTTGCAATGTAAGACTATTTTAAATTTGTGATTTCTATGGTATATGTAAAATTTGATGTTATATATTACAGAGTATTTTTATGTAATGTTAAAAATTTGACGGTTTGATATGAACATTTTAAAATGGTACCCATGATTAGTTTTGGGTCCGCCACTGTACGCAGGTCGCCGCATTGCCTCTCGCAACTCAAAAACAGAACCCTAGGTCGTGGGTCAGTTGGTCTAGAGCCGCATCTGGACTCTGCCGGGGATAATTTGCCACTGCGTTGCCCCCTCTAGCCACCACGGCACCACCACTTCTCCAACTAAAGGGCAAGTAATTATTATTTACAAATAATTTTTTATTTTTAGGATTTAATATGTGATTTTTTTAATTGTTTTGCATTTAATTTGAGTTTTTCTTTATGGTTATCTTTCCTTATAGCATTGTTTTGTGTTAAATTGTAAAACTAAACTATGTAAATAATTTTTTTTCTTAAATTAGAAATTACAATGCAAAGATATTTTTAGAAATAACTAAAATTCAAATAGCAAATACTCCGTATATTTTTTTTTATTTTGAGGAATTTTTTTGTTTATTGTTAGAAATTATGATCTAACTCGGGTTGGAAAATCGGGAATTTGGTACCCTGCGGCTACAAAATCCTATATCTGCCTCGGTATTTTAGAGTTTCTATATTATAAATCTGAACATACAGTGTTATTATATGCTCCGTATTTTTCATATGTGTATTTACAAGTTACACAATGTTCATTTGTTTTCATTTAGTAGTACTAATAATAATAGTAATAATAATAATAATACAAATTAAAATAAGAATGATATGGAAACTGCACTTAAATAATTTTTAAGTTATTGTTTAAAAGAATTGGAGGGAGCTAGAAGAATCTGAAGGAGTTGAAAAAACTTGAAAGAATTGAAAGAAATTGAAATAAGTTGGAAGAAAGAGAAGTTAAAAAGATAGAGAGAAATTAAAAAATACTGGAATGTGTTGGATGAACCTACAAGGGGTTTGGAAAATGTTACCAAAATACGTGAATAACGACATTGAATAGTGGTTGGGAAAAAAACATTGGGACTGGGCAATTGGACAAAGGGAGTACTCAGGTATACTTTTGTGGGTGTCTTTATTTATGTATGCATTAGTGTCGCCTTGTACAGGTGCAATTAGGCCATGTGACTCTCGCGCCATGCCTAGTCTAGTCTGTCCAATTTCATAAGGATGAACCCCATCACCTAGGATCCCCAGTGTTGGGTTGGACACTAGCCTGATACATTACTGCTTTTGGTATACGGCTATACGCACAAAAATTCAAAGGCCATGTTTGTCGACCAGTTAATGTGTGATGGTTTCTGTTGTGAATCTCCCCCATCAGTTTCTTTTTTTATCAACAGTAAACCCTAGATCTTAAATTTGAGGCGGCGATGGAGGTTGGACTTGGGGACGTTTTGAGGTACAATGGCTGGGGGTGGTCGGCAGTGGGTTGGGAAGGGAAGGGTCTGCTGTTTTTTTAATAACGCCTTTGGATTAAAAATGGATGGCTTAGATGATGTAAGTTCTCAATATAGGTAGAATTCTTTTTTTTGAACACAGTGGCAAATTAGATGCTTTTAAATTGTTGTTGTAGATGTAATTATTTTTAAAAACTTAATTTTATGTATATGATTTGTATAATATAATAGAAATTATATAACATGAATTAAAATTTATAAAATATAATATGCTATGCAATATAATATAATACAATTCATATACGTAATGCACACACACACATGTATATATATTTCCTTCACCGCCAAATGAAATTCTAGGTTACTATTCTAGAGTCAATATTTTTTGTTTACCTACTTTTGCTAATAAAAAAAAGGACAAGTGTTTCCTTCCATTTTAATGTATTAGATTATTTAACAAATTTTATTTATTATAAAATTTATTGAATGTGTAACTTTTTTAGTTTTGTACCAATTTTCGAATAAAATAATTTTTTATAAAATATTTTACCTCGTTAATTCTAAGTGAATTTCATTTGGGGAATAAGAAAGTAGTTATTATTTACTCATTTATTTGTTTGTTTTTTGTTTACTCGCATTTATTTTTTTGTTGATTTATTTATTTATTTAATATTTATACAATAAATGCTTTTACTCCAATAGCCAACAGCCAACTCAAAAGGCTACTCCTCCTAGCTTTTCATATTTTGGCTTTTCGGACTCTAACACCCAACTTCAACAGCCATTTGCCAAACACTCTATTTGGCTGTTTGACTGGTCAAAACAGCCAAAATTAGTCAAAACAACCAAAAGCCATCCGAAAAGCCAATATCCAAACATACCCATAGTCTAAATTTCACCCTAACTCTGATGCAAGTGCACCACTGCAGCTGACATAATATGTAGTGGTTACAGCCTTGTATATCTTTGCTTTATTTTTAGTCAATCATAAAAAGTAAGCGTATTATTCTTAAAAGAACCTAAAGAACAATTATCATGTGCCCAAACACGAGGTTGACACATATTACTATTAATTCTGACTGTACTCTAAAAGTAATAATATTCCAGAACAAACAACTAGAGTATTAATAATTTATTATCTGTTACTTTTGCAATGCAATGCTCATTCATTTTGTGAAACATATTCTACTTTACACAATAAGAATTAGCAAAGGTGGTGAAGCTAAAACATCTTTAATTTGGTGCAGTTGTTTGGGCATCCTTCACTGAAGTGGAAGAGCGCTGAGGATGATAGTTCAAACATTGTCTCTACCCAGGCTCAGGAAACTCTTATTCCCGCTTTGTTCTTTTTATACTTGCACAAACCCGGTAGCTATCTGTATCCCCAAATTTCAAATCATCCAATCCATTTATTTGGAAAATTCAACCAGAACAACACCCTTCTCGTTTGTTCTAGCCTTCTCTGCAAAGTCTTCTCCAGTTTCGCTCCTCAGCAGAGATGGAAACTATTATGAAGCCACTTCAGAAGCCTTATTTATCTGCCCTGGTTGTGGTGTCAGCATGCAGGGTAGTGATTCTATGCAACCTGGTTACTTCATCAATCCATCGACTAAATCCCACAATTATAAGACACTCTTTGACAGAAATCCGATAGTTGATGAGGTAGATATATCAAATTCCCTTAAGAAGGGATTTCTAAATGAGCCGATGGAATCAAAAGGTGAAGAAAAAGTTGAATTAAATTCAACTTTAAAGTCCCCCGAGAAGCCGGTGGTTTGTGCTAGGTGTCATAGCTTGAGACACTATGGGAAGGTGAAAGACCCGAGGGTTGAGAACTTGTTACCTGCTTTTGATTTTGATCACACAGTTGGGAGGAGGTTGATATCTGTAACTGGGACGAGAGCTGTGGTGCTGATGGTGGTGGATGCATCAGATTTTGACGGTTCGTTTCCAAGGACGGTGGCTAAGCTGGTTTCAAAGACAATTGAAGGGAACTCGCGGGCATGGAAGGAGGGAAAATCAGGGAACGTGCCTAGGGTCGTGCTGGTCGTAACTAAAATTGATCTTTTACCTAGCTCTGTATCACCTAATGGACTTGAACATTGGGTTAGAACAAGGGCTAGAGAGGGTGGTGCGACCAAGTTGACGAGCGTACATCTGGTAAGTGCAGTCAGGAATTGGGGGGTAAAGAACTTGGCAAATGATGTGGTAGCACTGGCTGGTCCAAGAGGGCATGTATGGGCAGTTGGCGCACAGAATGCTGGGAAGAGTACACTGATTAATGCAATAGGTAAGTGTGTGGGTGGGAAGGTGACTCATTTGACCGAGGCACCTGTGCCTGGGACCACATTGGGGATACTGAGAGTGGAAGGTGTACTCCCAAAGAATGCCAAATTGTTTGATACTCCAGGCCTTCTCCATCCTCATCAGATCTCAACAAGGTTGACTAGGGAGGAGCAGAAACTAGTTCGTATGTGCAAGGAGTTGAAGCCTAGGACATACAGGATCAAGGTTTGATAACCTTTACCCGCACAGCTGTTTTATTACTGTTTTCTTTTTCCCCTCATTCTGATTTAATGTACTGGGTGTATCGCTATTAGAAATCACTGTACGGATGGCTGGAAGATTTATGTTGATGTTTCAGTAGATAGTTTTTCCGTTCATCTTTCAATTTAAGGGAAAACTAATCACCCCAACATATTTCTCTTCTGATTTATAATCGTGGGATTTAATTACTAATCCCTTGCCTTCATTCCTCATCCGTGTGAAGGGTGTAAGAAGAGTGAAGATATGGAAGGATTATCTTGTGTTTAGTATCTCTTCTGCTTAAAAAGATTCAAAAGCAGCCAATTTCCATCTAATTATAGACTAACAGTTTGCGTTACATACTTTTAGTACTTATACATGTTTTCATTATCTGGTTTTGGTAGGTAGGATATTCAGTTCACGTTGGTGGGCTCATGAGGCTTGATGTAGAAGAATTATCAGTTGATTCTATATACATTACAGTCTGGGCATCTCCTCTAGTCCCACTGCATATGGGAAAGACAGACAATGCTAGCACAATGTTGGAAGAACATTTCGGCAATCAGTTGCAGGTACTATTTGCTATGGCAAATCAGTTCGGTCTTCCTACTTTCATAGTGTACGTAGTTTTACAGTGTTACTGGAGAATAAAGAATGTATATGATGGATACCCTGGACCGTAGGTATCCGGCCCATAAGAGATGACTTAGAGCCTAAGACTGAGGCCCGAATTAGCGGCCCAAGCTCGTCCATGGAGACCTTGAAGTCGGCCCCATGGAGTCGGCCTTGCACTTGGCTGGAGATGTGTGTGCTCGGATGAGGTAGTCGTCCTCGGCCACATGGACAAGGGGGGCATGGTAGGTGGTAATTGTAGGGGCAGCCCAGCCTGGCCCGGCCCATGACTTATTGTATGCAAATTTGGTCCTGTGTACCAAACCCTAGCTGGTTCTATAAATAACTCTCCACATCCTACGGGGAGGGGATCCCATTCTGATCATTATTTGAACTCTAATAACTCTATTACAAGGTAGTATCTTTTCATACATTCTCAACCTAATAAAGCCTGTAGAGGTATTGTCCCCACTGGGGATTGAACACACAACCTCTCACTTGAGAATTGCGTGTGAAGTCTCTGGAACGATCAAGCTGCACATCCACTGAAATGAGGAAGAGAAGACATGGCGGTGATCGTCTGGGGAGTGCGGCGGCTCCGGTGAAATCGGATCTGCAAGTCCTGTCTCCGGCTCTGTTGAGGGCTTGAGGTTATGAAATGTCGTCGGATGGCGGATTGTCGCGAAGGTGACGATCAAACTGGAAGAAAGTGGCTTTGACACCGGAGGGGAAGATGAGCGCGACCACAGAGGAGGAGGTTACTGTTCATGGCTGAATGGGCATTTAGCTTAACAATGGTGGAGGAATGATTCAGAAACCGTTTGAGGGGATGGCTTTTTCCATGGCCATCGCGCCATTGAACGAACGCAATGGAGAAGAATGGAGGGCGCCGTTGCGATTGGTTCCTCCAGATGAAGTTGGGAGGAGGGACGCGAAAGAAATCGTGGAAGACGATCACTCAATGATGGGTACGTGGCTGATGGTGGCTCTGCTGTCACCTTGCACGTCTGGAGAATGCAAGGGTTTTGACCTACGTCACCGGGAGTTTGAGTCTTTCTTAGTGCTTCAGTAAATAAGTCTCCTAATTGTTCTTCGGTCTTCATATATACAGTTGAAATTTTACTCCTCTTGATGTTTTCTTCAACAAAATGAGTTCTCTCGTGAAAGACTGGGTTTCATCCAATGTGTACCGTTTCTTGATTAACACACTGTAGTTTTGCAGCCATTGGTGTTCTGATTCCAATTTAATTCAGTCATTGTCTCCAAATTATTCAGTATTCGTTCCATCATCTCCGATGGAGCCAAAATTTCACCATTTTTTGGCTTTGGGGTGTGATGGAATAAATCAAAATGGATCTCTAAACTGTCTGCGCTTCTTTAATTAATGAAGTAGCAGTTAGTCAAGCAATGCAACTTTCGACGTTGAGCCGGGGGTCTCTTTGGAAACAGCCTCTCTACTTTCGAGTAGGGGCAAGGT